CATCTTCTGATCGCTGTCTTTCGGGGGTCATGCGTGATCGCTGGGTGACCTCGTTGCATGCTCATCCGTGTCTGTCTCTCTGTCTCCAGCACAACTAGTAATGCCACTTCTCGTCAGATTGTTCCATTACCTATTCCTGGCTATCCGATGTCCCAACGTGTTTTCGCTCACCTAGTCTAGTGGAATTCCAATAGTCGTTGAACATGGAGTAATGTGTACGAATGGAGCAGCACCTCATTGGGGCATGACAAGCGTACGTACATCCCCGAGAATCAATGCTTTTCGCTGCGCACACACCAAACACCGAGGTTTGCATTGTCGATTTTCTATTTCCAAACAGGTCTATTCGATAAAGCACCGGAAGAGGTTTCCGTTCAATTAAGGCTCATCAGAAATGCTGACCCGCCAAATCTCACTGGATTCGAGCCAAATACCTCCACACTTATTGGCTAGCGATGTAGCCACTGAGCCAGGTTTGACGATTGCGGATCGCCATGACTGACTGCTGGCTGCGATATACCACAGCTCATCCTGCATCATGTTTTATAGTGTAGGGTACAGGTTTGGACCCCAGATCGCACTGTTCACTTGCCTAGCCAGAATTACAAGTAATAAGGCTAAACTACACCACGATCACACCACTGCAATCTAAAGATTGCTGTGGTACTCTGCAATTGGTGATAAGGTGCCAAATGTTAGACACCGTTTGCTCCTTTAGCTAGTTTCTGTGAAAACCAGTAATGCTAATAGTACATATTCTTGGATTTACGGACATGCCACATTCGAACGCATTAAACATTGGTAACAGTTTGTTTGGTTAATTGAGACTACACACTAAGGCAGCTAGGCTTCGCAACTTGTTCTTCCAGCGTTTTCGTCGTGCTCTCGTTTGATCATCTTGATACTTTTTCGAAGCAGACCCATTTTTTTCTGGTAACTCATCAGACGGCGTGTATGCGTAGAATGTGAATCCACCAGCAGGGGACAAATTATTGGGTTCCTACTGTGTCGCTTCTCGAGACACAGAGGATGTTGCCGTTGAACTGTGTCTACTGGACCAATTCATCCTAGGTCCTCTAGTCCAGTTGACTTATTTCCAGTGACCCGGATTACTTACTGTTCCACCATGGTAAATCTCTACTCATAAATAACGAGAACTCGTAGCGCTAATCGCATGCCATTATACAGCAACCACTCAATGGACAATGTTCATGTACCGTAATCTCACGCCTCCTCTTCCCTGGTGTTACAGTGCCGGGTACCATTCTCGTTGCGTACACGTCATGCGACTTGCAGCTTGTGTGCAAATGAATGATTACAACAGATCCACAACCGGTCTATTTGGCTCACATGTTTACCATGTGGCCACAGGTTAGGAAGCTGAACAACTCCTTTTACCTTGGGTACATTCAGCAAACTACTACTCCCTGGATCGACATACCCAGCAAGCTGCACGAATGCCGTAAACTTACCACTTCTCGGTAAGTCTACCGTATTCCCAAGAGGTGGAGCGAGACAGCCCTGTCGACTGTCCACACCAACATCCCTCGCTGGAATAGGAAACGTGCACCAACTGTTGTGTTTGTAACCAACCTGCTCTAACCTCGTCACTGCATGTTTGAAGATGTTGGATTTTGGTGTTTCTAAATTGCAATTTAGCAACGCATCAGAATGATCTTCCATTTTGCGGTTATTCCTGCAAACGCCACTTTCTAAGTAGAAAGTATCTACCATAAATTTTGGTCACATTAATGGAATATGTTGCTACAAATCAGCACGTGCAGCAGAAGTGAATTCACTGGTAGTATGCCTATTCTCCATTTTTCTCAGTCTTAATTACGTAGCTTCCGCTTGGTTATGAGCGTCAATTCGTGTGACAAATAGCCGGACGCTTTGTTTTAATGCACTACAAGATGAGACGAGCCCAAATTGTTTGCTATTAATCCGCGGAACTATTCCTGTGGTAATTGCGTGTATTTCTGCACATTCGTAAGTTATTTCTTTCTATTTCACTTTATATCCACTAATGTAGGACGATGGTTATTTCGGTACAATCGGCTCCGATCGTTGCCACTAATTCTTGCGGCCCAGATCCTGCGTTTCACCAAGTCTCATCGAGCCACAGTTAGATAGCGATGTTCACAGGAACGATCACTGTTCCAATATTCATGAACTTGTTTTGCTTCCGGCAAACCGACGCTTAGTTTTCTGCCTCCAGAGTAACTTGTGGGTTCGGTTCCGTAATAGAGACTTTACAAATCCTTGAATGAGGGATATTTTCTAAAGCCGATCCAGCCTACTATCCGTTTGAGACCGTTTTTGGTGCCTTACGTTTTGGAAATACCAATGCAAAACTCAAAAATATAATTACTAATTGCGGTAGCGCGAATTTCTCGGTGTGAAGTCATGGCTAACATTTGGGCGGTACAAAGCATTCACTCCGAATTCCTTTGAAACCACACTTAACGCCACGCAACATTTCAAGCAATGGTTTCAGTAGGCTGTCTTCATATTCTCGCTAACGAAACGCCTGCTGACATCTACGCACTTCACAGCACACGGTAGTCTTTCTAAGCGCCACGGTTGGAAGATTAACATGTACGAACCGCATATTCCACAGTTCTCTGTGGGTCTGTCTCACATGGCTCGGTTTTGGCATTGCATACACGCACATCCGCCTGCCTACTTCCGGCTGATTCCGAAATGCGTTACTCAGCTCGCACGGCTATTAAAAGAAAAACACTGCATCCGAGCAGACCTTGTCTTCATATAATTGATAATTGACAAAACCATTTTTACAAAGCAAATAAAGAAATATATCTGGCGTAAGAAACGCGAATCAATCGAACACGGCGCTTATGTATGGAGAGTAGACAGTCTCTGGGGGGCCGCGTTCCTTGGATGTACTCAACTACATCTGATGCGTATCACAAATCGCTTTATGGACATGTGGTTTCAAAAGAGGCCATCGCATTTCAACTAGTCATGCGTAACTTGATTTCCTCTCTGTCTACATCTGATTTGGTTGCTCTCCCGCACGTCCAGGCGCTCCATCAATTTGGCACATTTCCTCATATGACGCTCAAGAGTATTGCTGAGCAAGAAAGGGGTCCGACAGTATCGACAGCACAGTTCAACTCCGGTGGTTCCGGGCTCACCGTGAGTTCGCATGTGTCGAGTCAACTTGGAAGACTGAGCACACGCATATGGGCAAAGCTTGCAATGATACGGTTTCTCGCCTGTGTGACTCCTTCGATGTACCGTAAGGTTGCTGCAGTTCCGGAATACTTTACCACAGAATTCACATTTGTCTCGTCTGTTGGTCATAGCGGAAGAGCGTCGGTTGTTGGTGTTTTGATGCGTGTTCGGTCTGCGTACCTTCAGTGATGCATTCATCTTGGCTGACAAGCCGGTGTCTGCGGAATCTGTATTCTCATGAGAGAATATGGTGGGAATTTGGTCTAGCAGTGGCTCTGTTCCGGAAAGTTCACGTGTCTTGTCTAGACCGAGTCCATAGTCGATGTGGTGGCCACTGTGATCGCTCTTCCACAGATTACCTTGGGGATACCGTCCCTGGAAGAATGAGATCCCCTTCCGTGGACTTCTGCTTTGACTTGCCATACAGATCTGACTCTTTGGTAAGGTGTTCCTAGACGTGACAATCTTCGGACTTTGTTCCCAGGATTGGAACATTTTCAGATAGACATCGAATAGTACGGGAAATGCGACTTTCCCATAGGTTAACTCTGGCCCATTGAGATCCGTAATCGGCCCACTTATTGGATCATTGTCTCTGCTGGATGGCGTGTTGACACCGCCAGACAATTTTCCATACAAAACTGGCGCTTGTTGCTTGTGGTTAGCTAACCAACACCCGTGGACACGCTGATGATGATGTTCATTTGAGTTCCCTTGCAGCTCACAGAGTCCCTCGTGATCACCATCGGGCTCGAGTCGAAATAAGTCCACTTGATGCACCGCACCCAAGTGGTTCAGCAATGTCCATGCAGTTGCTTCAAGCAGACCGCAAAGGGAGCATCGGAACCGAATGTGCGTTCCTGTGTTAAAAACGAGGGAAGAGTAATGTTGTACTAGATGATTGCAACCACGTACGGTGCATTATGACAAGCGATCAAGCGCCATGCAGTAATAACCGTAACTGTTGTGAGGCTGCTTAAACGCAGTGCTTTTTGATAGACTTTGCATTCTGTTAAAAATTGAAATTATTGGTGACGTTGTCAAGTGATAGGAAGCGTCATATGTACACCATTCAAGAAAGCATTAAGATGGATTTCATGTTTATATGCTGCAGTAGCCAATTATTGCTTCGCAAACGATGTGGTACTTGAAGCAGTTCGAAGAACCATTTGTAGCGTTTTGGGGACTGAATCTAGACCCTGGACATCCGGAACTAAATAAATACAAGTGTTGCAGAGGACTGTTTTAGCTATATCTTCAACTTAACCGTACTCTACCGATTTGAATGGCACCACGTTTCATTCAATGAAACGATAGAGAAATGATTTTATACGGGTAAAATATTTATAGTTAACAGGTCCCGTAGGGTGGTCACGTAGCAACTTCAACATATGGAAAAATTTTCGGCAGTATTATGTTTACACCGGTGGGCTCATTGCAGTATGCGTGTGTCCTAAATTGTAAATACAATGTAAATCCTTGCGCAATGACAACAAATGAGATGTTGTTAATAGCGTGCCCCCTCCCGGTGAAGACATAAGGAGGTGAAAATGTGGAACACAAACTGGGAATTAGTCAACAGTGAAATCTCTTACAGACCATTGTGTTTATCCATGGGTAGTGAGTCATGTGAGATGGTGCAGCCAAATAATTGCACAGTCAACTCGGGCTTTGAACTCTGCAAGCATGGGAGCAAAAATGACAGATTCCGGTAGGGCATTCCACGTACTGCGAACGCGTACGGAAAAGAAATTTTCGGCCACATTCCAAACGATTCTCACGCACTGCCAGCTCGAGATGTTGGCCTCTCAAATTACGGTTATGATTGAGCCCTAGCTAATGTTGGCACGCGTTTGGAATCACTCAAAATCTGGCAAGTCAAAATGAGGCCTCCGCTCAATCGCCGATATTGTCCGCTGAAGATTCCGAGCACTTGAAGCCTAGATTCATAGTGCATGTTTTACAGACCCTTGACATGCTTGGTTTCCCAACCTTCGGTTATCTCTAAGGCGGTGAGATTTTCATTCAACCATGGCTGCCAGATCTTTATTGTCTATTACACATGTGGACATTTGTATAAGCCGAAGCTGTGGTAAAAAGCATGGCTCAATTCATCCAAATGCAGATCGCAGGAGACCCACGTGTTAGATGCCCTACTTTGAACCTGTTCCAGCCAGCTTCGAACATCCAAGGTCGATTTGTACCGAAACGCCCAGATGCTTCTCACCAGAAGAGGACTGAAGCTCCTGGTTACCGAGTTTGTAGGAGCATGCCACTGGTGCCGTAATTGCAGCACTCTACATTTGTCCATTTTGAATCAAAGTAGACTCTGTACTAACCACGTGTTTGTCCAATCCAAATCGGCTTGAAATACCGGGATATCACCCAGTGTATTGATCACCATCCACGTCTTGATGTCATCGGCATAAAGCAGGCAATTCGAGCTAATGACGCATGTCATATCGTTGATATACGTCAGAAATAACCGCGGTCCTACTACCGACCCCTGTGGTACCCCGCATTCAACTCGTATGGGATCTGGTGAAAATTCACGCGCTCGCAATTCCAAGCGCCGGTTAGACGAAAGCTTCTGATCCACCCTAGGAGATGATCATCAATACCAAAGGTCTGGAGTTTGAAGAGCAGAATATTATGGTCTAACCGGTCGAAGGCCATTGAGAATTCGAGAAAAGCTACATCAACTCCTGTGCCACAGTTTACTGCTTCGGTCCAGCTGAATCGTGCTAGCGATAGATTTGTAGTGCACGATCGACTTCGTCGGAAGCCATGCTGTTCCGTCGCAAGTTAGTTAAATTCTTCTAAGTAGGCCGTAAACGCATTTGAAATAATAGCTCCCGTGCTCTTTGAAAGTGCAAGTAGTAAGATAACGGGACGGTAGTTGGTTGGATAGGAATGACCACCCCACTTGTGAATAGGAGTAACGGGACGGTTGTTCGCATACGGCGGACGCAGTACCGCAGCTCGGACATTTGTCGTTTTCTACGTGCAGTCGCTACGGATCGTAGATTGTTATACATTATTCGATTCTTCTTTGTGTGATCCATCCCATAATGGAAAAAGCTTGGATGCATATCTAACGTTTTCTGTGAATCTGTGCAAAATTTGTTTAACAATCCAACATGAAACGTTAGGTAGACTACAGCGCGTTTCCGTAGAGTTCAGGACAATTGTATTTCTCATTTTACACCTATCTTAGGTAGTTTTATTTGCTCTTTCGCTTGTGTTATATTTTATCTACGTATGTAAAAAGAGCTCGATATTATTCCTATTTTTGTGTTGTTATCTCGGATGAGCCTCCTAAGGTAGGACTTTCTTCCACGGAGAATCTCCTTCCACCCCTTTAATCGTAAGCACCATGTTTGTGTTCATTATAGGTTTAAGCTTTTACGATTTTATTCGCATTGTATTTGATATTGTTTCTTCTAGGAACAAATACATTTTTGCTTAATAATAACCCATAAGTTTAGTTTGCACAAGCATTTTCCACTGTAGCGGGTCTTTCTTGCGATGTGGGATATCACCAGCGACATCCCAATAACCGGCCTCTCTGTGCTGAGAAAGTAATAACGTGTCAAAACGTCATCGCTATTTTGCATTAGCTCTGTCTCCAATAACTCATCATCATCGGACACCCCCTACCGACTGCGACGCCATGAAGGCACCTCGGGCTTTAACTGGCTGACATTTATTGGACGGAAGTATAAGATCCTCAAACCTCTACAATATGAGACGGAGTAGTGTTCGACTGTTACTTCCTTGAATCTACTTAGTTCCAAGCTTCAAACACAGCATCCAGCAACCATTAAAATGCGACAATATCTAAAATTGCAACGTTCAACGTGCTCTCACCGCACTCTTAATGTCCTGCCGGATGTGTCGACCGCATCGCTTACTACCCAAGATAAATGTTCATCCGCCTCTGACCTATCATTTGTGCTGTCCACCAACGTTTCTCCGACGCCAAACTGCTCACCATCGAATCACCCTACCGCCCATACCTCGTCTACGACAAATCTCAAGTCAAAATACCCACCACCCGCAGCTTTCATCCACCCTTTCACAGATGCGCGTCATTTAACCAATCATTGGTAGGAGTCCAAACGTGATGCCATTGAGGAGTCTTGTTGTTGTGACAACTCAGAAGCACCTTCAAGCTCTACAAAAAACTCCACCGAGACCACGGGATCCACAACTCCACAAGCGTATAGGTCTCCACTCCCAAGTGTCATCCACTCCTCCTAGCCGCGGTTGGGGGCCTATGAACGGCCCGCAGCGCCTACATTTGCCTGTTCCCCCACGTCCCCCGTTCCAACTAGTCGGATCAGCGAACCAGCTGATATTCACATGAATGAATCGAGTAGGACAGGCTTAGCTGACCCCAATTCCAGTCCGCGAAACCATTGTCATTCGTCACCTGTATAATCCAGCTGTAAAGCGAACCAATCGGCAGACGTTAGAGCTCCGATTTTGTCTTCAAATCCTTCGACGGAACGAACTCCTGACACTGCTTCCCAATTCCCGATACCTCCGTCGCCTTCCCAGTCCGCATCCGATCCCAATCGTCCGCAGTATTTTCCATGCAGCTCACGTTCCCGGCTGTTCCTTACCGAAAGTGGCTTACAACGACATTTGGCGGCTCACCGCCGGAACCCAACAACAGCGATTAATCCAGTTCCCACAACTGGAACTCAAGCACATAGCTACCAAGAATGCGGCCTGATATCTCGTACGAAAATCGATCACTCCAAATATCGTAGACATAGGCATCGTTCACATTATAGCACTGACTGTTTGATGCGTCTACCTACTCAGTCTATTAAATGAGTGTCGCACGAGGACAACGAACTTATATTTCGAGCATCAGAACTGTCTCGGAGTTGTGCGACACAGCTGGGTAGCCGAACAACCTCCACGTGGTGCCAGCTGAGTGGTGCGTGTATATCCCGTTCCAACGAATAGTTCAGTGGCAGTGTTCTAGGACGTGGTAGGTTATCGTATGGCAAGCGTCCTCTATATAAAAAGCCAAATAGTTCTGCTTAACGAGACTGCGACTTGGCGAATGTGACTCGCCACAAAATGAAGTCACTGCCACTTCACTTTCTGGAGGACTTTTCCAGCTTCAATGACGTCGTCTAATTCGAAGAATTCCTTTGCTCGCCTCACTCGATGGTGAACACAACCAACAACATCACGAATTCACGGTCACATTAACAAATTCACTCACCATGTCCAATTACACATGCATAAATATGTCCA